TCTCTCTCTCTCTCTCTCTCTCTCTCTCTCTCTCTCTCTCTCTCTCTCTCTCTCTCTCTCTCTCTCTCTCTCTCTCTCTCTGTGTTTTAGCTAGATTTGCTAAACTTTCCAGCGGTCCATGGGGGGCTAGACTCTCCGCAATGTACCTCGGAATCAAGAAATATGGGTAGTAAGGAAAAGCGAGAGCGGGTGACGGACCAAAGGGATTTCTGCTGGCATGTAGGAATTTTCCTTCTCCGTTTCTTTTCGTGCTTTCGTGATTTCTCGTTTTCTTTTCGTGCTTTCCCTTTTCGCTTAAATTCTCATTGCTTTTCCGTTCTTTTTACGAAGGCGGGAACCGGAAAGAGGGTCGAGTATGGCTGTCCGGAGAGACGGTATTAGGAAAGATTGTTGGGTGGTTTTTTCAAATTCACATAGGGACTAGCGCGGGAAAATAGGCAAATGGTCGGCAGTTTTCATAGTACGTTGGGACCCACATCAATATGGGTCACCAGAGGGAAAAGCCGGAAATTGGAATTTTTTGAATTAAGTCGCCAACAGAAGAGCGAGATAACCAGAGGAATTGGCACTGGATAAGGCCAACGGATCGGAGAATGGAAGAACTTCGTTTAACGACGACTCCAGGGAGTGCAGAGACAAACTAACTAAGTATGGGGCTGAACTGGGGAGCGAGCCAGTAGGCATAAGATCCGGGGCAATGCAGGGAGGAGTCGGAAAGAGAAGAAGAAGAGGGCGATGGACAGAACCAGAAATAGAAAAAGGGCAGGGCGGGAAAGACTTGTAGAGACGGTACGGGGTAACAACATGGAGTGGAGGTAGGGAGCCTCAGGGAAGAACGAAGGTGAATCTGGGTGAGCGCATGAGGTAGACTGGGATAGGAGTAGAATGTAGTACTTTGCAATCGATATCATAGTACTTACAGGCTGAAGAGACGAAGGACAAGCAGTATAAAAAGCCGGAGGAAGGAACGGCGATTCACACTAAGGGCTGAACTTACCTTTTGGGTAAGCCTCCTGATGAGTTGCTGTAGCGCCAGCAACGAAACGCGTCGAGGGATGCGTCTTGGGATATACGTCGGGCGTGAGGGAGAAGATTTTGGACGGGAAACTGTTTTCGGACAGGGAACTGGTCGGGGGTTTTTCTGAGTTATGTTTCCTCTTCTCCTTCAATGCGATCACTGAGTTTTTGACAATTGAGGGGACTTCATGGCGAGCTAATCTCTGTGTGCTCGTATCTCCAGAAGTATGGTAACCAACATGTGTTGACAGGGGATCGGTGGCTACGTGCGAGTGATGGTCTATGGTTTATAGTGCGGCGGTACTACTTCAAGCGTGAACGTTTTGAGAGTTAGAACGTGGGCATGATTAAGATAGGAACAAGGATATTAGTTGTGTGGGGAGGCTTGATTGTATTAGTGATAGGAGGACTAACAATATCCCACGGTACCGATGGTAAGAAATGTGCCAGTGAGCGTATGGTTGTCCTACGACTTACAATTACCTGTAAGTGTTTGGTAGGAGGTACGAGGAATGTCGACGCGGAACTTTAGAGATATTGAGCTTGAAAGGCAGTGGATCGAGTTGCAAAGGTTGATCGAATATACACTCACCCCTGCGATTTTTGTAGCGCTCCACTTCGAAGATCAAGAAGGCAAGGAGGAAGTGACAGGGTATCTTGAGGTAATTCTAGGGAGTATTGGCTGCTCGGTTAGGAATCAGAGGTATAGAAGAAGGAGACAAGGAAGGAGGAATAGCTAAGATGGCGAATCCTCAACAATTTCTTCCTCAAACAGCGGTACCACTGTACACGGGGGTAATGTCGGGTACGGTGCCTGGTATCAGCCCAGCAGTGAACCCGCCAGCTGCGGTGTCATGTTATCTTTGTGGGAAGGTCGGGCACTATGCCCGGAACTGTTGGGCCGCCGGAAATGGGAAGCCGCCTCCGCAGATCCAACAGGGGCAGACATCGGGAACAGCTGATGAGGAGATGAATGAGATGAAGATGTACTTTCGTAAGAAGATACAGAGAGAAAAAATGGAGGAGGAAAGGAGTGACCTAGAACGAGAGGAGCAAAGGAGGAAGCAAGAGGAGATGAGAAGAGAGGCGAAGAGATTAAGGGAAGTGGATGCACGCGAAGCACGGCTCGAAGCAAGGTTGGTGAAATTGGTAAGTCAACATACGAAGTCTGAACGCAACGTTACAGCGCCGGTAATGAAGAAGAAATCACCCCGGACGAAGGCCAGGGTGCTAAGAGAGATCTGCAACTACATTGATGAGTCTGAGGACGAGAGCGATGAGGTAAAGCATGAGGCGGCGAGGCTTGTTGACGCGATCGAGAGGAGGAAAGGCAAGCGAAGGAACGGGGAAGAAAAAGCGATTTCAACTACACGGGTGAGGACAACGAAGACCACACCGATCATCATTGAAGATGTTCCCGAAGAGGCGCACACACCGCCAACAAGGGAGAAAGAGAATGTGGAAGGAGTATACGGAGGGGTGTTGGAATTCGTCCTGGAGATGCACAAGACATTATCGGCAAAGAAAGTGCCTGAACTGCGCAGGATATGCAACGAGGAAGGGATTGAATGGAAGAGGAAGGATGTGGCGGTTAGTGAGATAGTTAGATGTCGAGCGAAGTTGGCCTTTGGAGAAGCAAACGACTCAACGTATGTGTCGCCATTATCACGGAGGTAGGCAGATTATAGTGATGGAGTGCCCGAGTTTCTGAGTTGCCTGAGTTTCTGAGTTGCCTGAGATACCGGAGGGATGGAAGGACTAGAATCGGAGCAGCTGCAACTGCTGATGAAGAGAAGGGGGAGACGGCCACCGTTCAACACTCAGGCGACGAACTCATAATGCTATGCCTTAATATAGTTGCTCTCTAGGTCTCTCCTCGCAGTCCGATATTCCCAGTCCACATCTCATCACCTACCGTGCATCCTCCCTCCCTGGTCACCTCGTTCCTACCGTATAATAATACTAAAAAACTTTTTCACTTTCATCAATCCACTGCACCTCATCCAATATCCCGTCTCAATTACCAAATCCCCTGATGTTTCCATAGAAGTTTCCGCCCTCACTGTCAAATTTTCCTTCGATGTACACTCCTCTTCGATGATTGCATTCAGTTCTGATCCAGTGTGTAGCCCACCAACTGTCGGGTTCTTGCCCGTTAGGCTCTTGTGAGCACTACTGTGATCGACTTCCTAAAGCATCAGAATCTGTATCCGTATGTTTCTGGTCCGTGGCAGTTTCAACCTGTGCCTTCGTGCTACGCTACCCAGGGTGGTTATCGGTTGGTCGGTCGGTTATTACCAGTCTCTGAATGTCGATGTAGGAAGCGCCTAATAGATTTATTTTTACCCATTAGGTCACGATTCCACTGTCAGCTTGTACCTCGCACTCTGACAATGTAGCCAGTGTAGTAGCTTTGCGGCTGTTTTTTTGTTCATTTTTGTCCTTCGAAGAGCACAGACTGCTCGCTTCAGCGTTTCTATCGGGTAACCCAACTGTCGGGCATCGACGAAAAACCATCTGACCACGTCCACTGCCTCAGACTGGCTAGTGGAGTTGGTGAGAATGCGATGTAGTGTCCCGAGTACAGAAACTTCGTTTGATTTTAATGGACCAAAACTCTTGAAATGCTTTAGAAAGTTACCTATAGAGACGCTTTGTGTAGTAATTGCATCTTAGACTAGCATAGTTGGTCCAATCTACCAAGGTGAACATGCAGAGGAAATCACGCCACATTGCGCTGAAAACTTAGAAAGAGCAACAATCTGTGTCTTGTTTCTTCAACTATCGTTTAATGCTATCATAAACGTCTTTCTCTGTAGCATCAGTGAGAGGCAGTATGACATGCGGTCTGACGTCATAGTCTTTCTCATGTCCATTTGGTTAGACATTACGTCAGCCTCTTCCATTATCAACCTTTGAAAGGTTTGAAAAGTCATGGCATGAGCGGTGGATGTCGTAAAGTGACCTTTCCATCGATGTATCGACAGTACGGTCCCCTCTTCATGCAAGTCATAATAGTAAGCGTATGTGTTTCTTGAGAAGCGGATTATATAACACCATGCCTGGATACAAACCCTATATTCTTCTACAACAGGTCTCACCACCCCCTTTGACCCTCAATACAAGTAAAACTATCGACTTGATTCATCCCGGAAAAGGGTTCCAATGTGGTCCCGAACTTTGGTGGCAATACCGTTCTCCATTCCACTGGCATGAAGGGTCTTACTTCGGAAAGACCCCAAATTAGAGGAATCAGACTGTGTGGCTCTAACAAACATGAGTAGGCCTTTTCCGAAGTAAGACCCTCCATGCCATCGGAATGGAGAACTATGGTCACCAAAGTTCTCTACTATGTTGTGGATGGCAGAAGGACCGTGGGGAGATGCAGCACTGTCTTCCACTCTGTTTGGTCCTGGTTTTAGAGGCACTTGACCCAGGTTATGTCATCTTTCACCCACCCTTTCCATGGGGAGTCTGAGCTCCGGAAGACACGGCCCTGAAGGTCCGTGATCCATTTATTACCAAAGAGGGACTGTCACAGCACCTCTTCCCATCTGGGGGGGGAGGGGGTCTGCCCGGGAGTGGAAGTTGCCGCCACGTCCTCAGAAGGGCGAGCCATAATAATTTGTCAGTGTGTAGGTCCTACCTGACTGCCACCCTGTTGTTTTGTCCCCCGAACCTTCTTGCATGTGAGGGGGTCAGCTGACGGTTTGGTCTCAGGGGCTAGGTGAACCAGCTATTCCAAGACAAGCTCTTTCCAATTCAACCTCAGGGTTGCAGACCAGCACAGTAGTTTGGAGGGTCTGGGGCCCCATGGTGGGTCGTGCATTGCTCTACTGTCCGAATAGGAGGGGGTCTTGCGGGGGAAGATAAACTGCCATTCTCCCGCGTTCCTGCGGGAGATTCATTCTCCTTTTGCACATTTGGAGAGCTGTCTCTTATACACATCTAGATGTGTATAAGAGACAGCTCCCGCGTTCCTGCGGGAGATTCATTCTCCTTTTGCACATTTGGAGACTACCGGGGTGAGCTCTCTCTCTCACGTTCTACCGGGGTGAGCTCTCTCTCTCTCGTTCTAC